GTGAGGTGTGGACTATGATGTGTGACCGTGAGGTGTGGACTGTGATGTGTGGAATATGATGTATCACTGTGAGGCTTGGGCTGTGAGGTGTGGGCTGTGAGGTGTGGACAGTGCAGTGTGACTCTGCGTGCGGTGTGACTGGGGAGACAGGCACGTGGAGATGGCCAGGTGTGGCGGGGCATCCTGTTCCCTGGGCAGCACTCCCGCAGCTCTGCTCTCCCTCACGTCAGTTCGTGTTCAGTTAGAAACATGGAGACGCCACCTTTGCTCCCTGGCTACGGTGGGGTCGTGAGAAGGAGGCTGGGTGTGAGGGCTCCTCAAGGCGGAATCTTCGTTTGTATTCAGAGTTGTGTGTTGGGAAGTGGTTGAAGGCCGGGTGCGGTAAGGAAGAGGTGCGCTGCTGGAGGAGGCGAGGACAGTTGCTCTGGGCGGTTTTGTGGGTGCTATTGTGTGAACCCCTGTTCCTGTGGCCTAAGCAGGGAAGGCTGGTCTGTGGTCGGTTCCTCCCCCTCCCCCTTCTCCTCTCTTTCCCCCTCCCATTCTCCCTCCTGTTCCTCCCCATTCCCCCCCGCCGCCGGCTGAGGCTGCCACAGCTCACCTGGGTTAGAGTACATTCTGGTCATATGTATAGCCAGGCTCTGCCCCTTCCAGGATAAAGGCCACAGACCCCCATGGGTCCATCACAGGTGTAAGTTAGAGGGGCAGGGTCCTGAAAGATGAGACTGGGCTGAGACAAGATGCGGAGGAGCAGAAGGAAGGGGACTGTGATGGGCGTGGTGCAGCCACACCACTCCCTGGAACCTGGCGGGCCTGTCTTGTGGTCAAGGTAGAGTTGGGGGTCACACTCCTTGAGGACCGTGGCCTGGATGTGGATGAGGCAGGGTGCACAGCTCCCAAACACAGTGGGACTGGGCTTCTGCCCCCAGGATCCATGCTGGCTTCATCCAGTCTGGGCCTCTGCCTGCCAGTGGCTCCATGATGTCCAAGCAAACAGGGCCTGTGCCCGCACAGTGGCTCTGTCCATGGCGTGCCCATCTCTGCGGCTAATGTGTCAGAGGTCAGTGGGCCCTGCCTGGTCTAATACTTGCAATGCCCTGAATGTCCTTAAGTCACCGCTGACTGGGTTAGCAGGGCAATTTGGAGACGACAGAGTTGGTAAAATGCAATAGCACTTTATTTCTAAAAATCCCTTCTAGAATAAAAATGGTCAACAGTATTAAAAACTAGGACTTTTCTATTAAACTATTATGATACCAAAATTATTAGCTTGTACTGGGAATCAGAAAGATTTCGGTTCTGTGTCTTTTCTAGAATTAGAGCATTGTTTTGTCAGCCATGATGCTTATCATGCTCTTCCCATAAAACCGTGTGTAGCTGGAATGCCACAGGTGCGTTCACTCACTCATTAGCCCGTTCAGCTCATCTATTCTGTCGGTGCTGAGCAGCACCTCCGAACTGCTCAGGGGTCAGCCAGTGGCTGGGAAGGGAGGAGGCAGTAGCCAGTGGGACACGGGCGGTGGAAGGAGCCTGGCATGTGTGGGGGGAGGTGCAGGCCCGGCAGGTGAGGGCAGCACCGCTGGAGAGGACGGAGCCTTGAGCAGCCGCTTCCCTGCCGTTCTGCAGCTCCCTGGTCAGCACCAACGAACACCTGCTGCAGGAGCTGAGCCAGGTGCGGGCGCAGCACCGGGCCGAGGTGGAGCAGATGCACTGGAGCTACCAGGAGCTCAAGAAGACCATGGCCCTGTTTCCGCACGGGAGCGCCGGCCCCGGACGCTGCCAGGCCTGCTGACTCCTGCCAGGAGGTAGTGCTGCTCCTTACGTGGCCTGTGCCTTCCTGTTTCTTTACTGAGTGTATTGGCTGGCAAGGGTTCTTGCTTCTGTTTGTAAGTACTTAGGATTTTTGGAATGTATTCAGGGGCTATAGCTTGGTTTTCTAAAGCATCCGAAAATGATATGATCCATCCAAGCCCTTCGCATGTTTGGAGACAAAACACATTGACATATTTTGAGACCAGCTGACCATTAATCTTTCATCCGGTGTCCGGAGATGACGTAAATGCAGTGTTTCACTACCTGATATAAAGGAGAGCTATGTATGATCTTTATTTAATAAATGATACATTGTTCTGAAAAGTTAACTTTTGAAGTGTCTGTACAAACAGTAACAGCTTGTCCTTGAGTTATTTTCTAAAGCAAGTTATGCACCATGTCAGGCGAGCAGGAATAATTAAGTTCAGACTTAATACAAGTAACACTTACAGATGTGGGGGAAAATCCTTACAAGTGTTGTTTTAAGGTGTGAACGTTTTGTAGCCAAAGCATCTGCCCAAGCCCTGGCCCTCTCGTTTGCAGTGTAGTTCCGGAAATCATGCTGTGATAGAACACAGAAGCGGATGTTTAGTTTGGAAATTTCCTGTCTCATGTCACACTTGCTGTGATGGTAAAACAGGGTTTTTTAAAACGACGTTTAAATGATTTGCGAAGATGAGCAGGCCTAAGAAGAAAACGCTCTGTGCTAGGTGTGCGTGTGTGTGCTTGTGTGCGTGCGCCCGCGTGTGCGTGTGTGTATGTGTGCCTGTGATCCCTGGGGAAATCAGAGGAGGGACTCCACTGTCTATTCCCCAGAAGAGGACTTCCTGGGCTTCAGGCTGTCCTGTTGTGTCACCTCTCTGTCTGGTCATGGTTGTAACTTAGCAGGAAAATGTGGCATACCAAATTTATTTTTTATAGGGTTGGGATGGGGTTCATCTGTCATCACATAATTTATGTATATGAGAGTATTAGAAGATGCTAGTCTACTTTAACCTTATAGATGCTTACCTCCTTTGAGTTTCAGTGAGCTTCTTGGACCTGTGAGTTCATATTTTTCCTCAAATTTTGCAGAGTTTCAGCCACTATTCATATTCTTGTCTGACCCCATCTCTCTCACTCCCCTCTCCCTCCCTGCCCCGGCTGGGACTCCAGTTCGCTTTCTGTTAGACTGTGATCCTGTCTGTAGGTCACTAAACTCTCTGTCAGACTGTGATCCTGCCTGTAGGTCACTAAACTCCCTGTCAGACTGTGATCCTGTCTGTAGGTCACTAAACTCTCTATCGGACTGTGATCCTGTCTGTAGGTCACTAAACTCTGTCGGACTGTGATCCTGTCTGTAGGTCACTAAACTCTCTCAGACTGTGATCCTGTCTGTAGGTCACTAAACTCTCTGTCGGACTGTGATCCTGTCTGTAGGTCACTAAACTCTCTGTCGGACTGTGATCCTGTCTGTAGGTCACTAAACTCCCTGTCAGACTGTGATCCTGTCTGTAGGTCACTAAACTCTCTGTCGGACTGTGATCCTGTCTGTAGGTCACTAAACTCTCTGTCAGACTGTGATCCTGTCTGTAGGTCACTAAACTCCCTGTCAGACTGTGATCCTGTCTGTAGGTCACTAAACTCTCTCTCAGACTGTGATCCTGCCTGTAGGTCAGGATAAATAATAGACTCAATTATTTTTCATCCTTGTTCTCTCATCCTTTACTTTAGATGGTTTTATTGTCCTGTGGCAAAGTTTACTAATCTTTTCTTTCACTTGCCCAATTTGACGTTAAGCTTGTATAGTGAGGTTTTTGTATCAGAAATTAGATATATTTTTAGCTCTAAAATTTATTTGACGCTGGGCCGCGTGGCTAACACCTGTAATCCCAGCACTTTGGAAGGCTGAGGCAGGAGGATCACTTGAGGTCAGGAGTTCGAGACCAGCCTGGCCAGCATTGTGAAACTCCATCTCTGCTAAAAATGAAAATTAGTTTGTGGCATGCACCTGTAGTCCCAGCTACTCGGGAGGCTGAGGCAGGAGAATCCCTTGTACCTGGGAGGCGGAGGTTGCAGTGAGCCGAGACTGCACCACTGCAGCCTAGCCTGGGTGACAGAGCGAGACCCCATCTAAAAAAAAAAAAAAAAAAAAAAGAATTCCATTTGATTATTTTTATTAGTTTTATATCCCTAATATGTTCATGCTTCCATTAACTCCCTAACAGGTTTACTAGAAATTCCAAACTGTTCCCCATGGTTGCACCAGCAGGCCCGACTGCCAGCCGTGTGTGATCCCGTCTGCTGGCCCGTGTTTTCCGCACCCATTGCCGAGGTGTTAGCACCTCGCTCCGGAGGGTGTGGGCTCGGCCTCCTCCTGGCTTCGTTGGCTTCTCCCTGTTTGGCACCTTCCCACGTGTCTGTGACTTACTGGGACTTTCTGTTGGTAAAGTACCTTGCAGGTATTTTCCCTATTTGTCTATTGGATGGTCTGTCTCATTTATTGGCAGGTGTTATTTATGGTTCTGGGTAGCAGTGCTGTGTGAGTTACATTTGCAAATAGCTTTTCTTATCTTTTTACTTTAATGGCATCTTTTAGTGAAGGGAAATTTTAAACCATGTGGCCCAATGTATCAATATTTTCTTTTATGATTAAAGCATTTTGGATCCTAATTTTTAATAATCTTTACTCTGCCTTGGTCATAAAGATATTCTGCTGTGTTGCATATTTTGGATTTTAGATATAGATTCTACCCAGAATTAATTTTTGTGCCTGTGGTGGAGGTGAAGAGTCCCGTTTCATGGTGTTCCAGACATAGACTAGTCTTCCCAGGCCTGGCAGGCGAAGGCTCTTTCGTCAGGATGATTTTTTTTTTGAGACGGAGTTTCGCTCTTGTTGCCCAGGCTGGAGTGCAATGGCGCGATCTTGGCTCACCGCAACCTCCACCTTCTGAGTTCAAGCAATTCTCCTGCCTCAGCCTCCTGAGTAGCTGGGACTACAGGCGCGCACCACAATGCCCAGCTAATTTTTGTATTTTTTAGTAGAGACTGGGTTTCACCATGTTGTCCAGGATGGTCTTGATCTCTTGACCTCGTGATCCACCCACCTCAGCCTCCCAAAGTGCTGGGATTATAGGCGTGAGTCACCGCGCCCGGCCCATCAGGATGATTTCTGTGTCTGTTTCTGCACCTCCTTGTCTGTCTCTGTGCCAGAACCACATTCCAGGGCGCGTCCTTCCATCCAAAGTGAGGACGTCTTGGCTGCTTTTGACCCTTGGGGTTTATGCATTTTAGAAGTAGCTGGTTGAGCTGGGATTTTGTTTGGGGTTTCACCTGTAGATCAACTTGGGAGTAACCGACACTCTTGTGACACTGGGGTGTACAGACAGTGAATGTGGACTGTGAATACAGGGTCTCTCCCGGATAGAAGGACTTAGCACAGCTGGATACTTTTCACAGCGGTCTGGTACGTTTTTTGTCACATTTAATCCTAGGTCCTTGTTATTTTGCAATGCTGTTTTTAAACATGTGTTTGGATTTCATTTTCCTAATTATGTGTTGCCATTTCATGGAGATTCCATGTTCATGTATTAGTTTGTAGCCAGCAATCCAGTAACGTTCCTGATTTGCCTCCAGCTGTTTTCTCCTCACTGGGCACCCAGTCCTGTTCCCTGTGAGTGATGGGTTTTCTTTCCCTTTCCTGCTACTCTGGATTTTCACTTCATGTTTTTATTTTTGTTTTGTATTTTGTTTTTCTGCACTGGTCGGAACCCCTAGTGCAATGCCGATGAGAGGTGGCAGAGTAGACATCACGTTCCGGATATTCAGAGGGGTGACAAATTCTCACCATTTATCCGCTTACTTGTAATAGATTATTTTGTTGTCGTTTTAAAGCTGCTTCTATCAATAGTTTGCATCAGGAATGGATGAATTTTATCACTTTTTCTGCAATGTTTGAGAATAGCACATGATTTTTCTCATTTAATATATTGATGTGGTGAACAACCATAATTTGCTATTGTGAAAAAAATCCTTGAATTTCTGAGATAAATCCAACTCAATAATTTCGGATTTTCTTTTGCTTACGTATTATTGTATTTGGTTCGTGACTATTTTGTTTAGCATTTTGTGGCCCGGCTCTACCGCTTACCACCTGTGTTTGGGCCCCGATTTCCTCGTCTGTGAAACGGGGACTAGTGCCTTCCTCACAGGGTTTTGTGAGGGTGAAATGAGTTGGCGTGAATGGAACTCTCGGACGGCCTCGGCGCACCCCGAGCATGGGGTGGCTGCGGTGGCACGCCGTCAGGATCTGTCTTCACGGCTACGGAGACGTACGGTTGTCCTTTGTAACGCTGTTCGTGCCAGGCCCCGCATCTTTACACCACCGTCAAACGCGCTGGGTTGTGCGTTCTTTCCCCATTCTCTAGGATAATTTACTTAACATTATAAGGACTCCATCCATGGATGTGGGATGGATCTTGCTGGTGAAGTCACCTGTGCCTGTAGCTTTCTTTGTCAGGAGGTCTGACTGAGGATCCAGTAGGACTCAGTGTTCCCGGAGGTGGCAGAGCCGTTCACGTGACCGTCCCTGTGTCCCCCTCATTGGCCCTGCATGTCCGAGCTGGGTTGGGGCCACGTGACTGCTTCTGAGCTACGGCCTGTGCATGGGGCCGTCGACGTGAGTCGTTTGGGGGCCAGAGCGGTGGGGAGCTGGGGCGCCACTTGGAGAGCTTCCCTGCCGGTGACCGGGGCAGCCGCATCTCGGGGTTCGCAAGCCTGCTCGTCTTCCGTTGGAAGACACCTCCTGTTACTCCTGAAGCCGGATGTGCTGTGAATAGTAAGTTCTGCGTGCCCCACCATTGAGGCGTCAGTGTTTTCCCCTGTAGCTGGCAGTGACTTACCCTAAGTCACAGGGCTGAGCAGGCATTCCATTTCTTTTGGAGTTAGTTTTTATGTTATGTGTCTCTAAGGATTGGTCCATATTATCTTAATTTTCAGTTTTGGGGGGTGTAATACACATAATCTTTAACGACATTAGAATGGCTTCAGCATTTGAAGTTGTGTTCCCATGGCAGAGATGTAAGGACAGTTGTGTCCCTTCAAGCAAGTTCTTGCCACCCAGAGCGAGGAGTGCAGGGTCAGAGACCATCTCCAGCCACCCATGCCGTCCGGCAGTGCCTGGGCTGCGGAGCTGAGGATGCACGCCCAGGCAGCCAAAGCCGAGTCCGAGCAGCAGAGCCCAGCCCTCATACGAGCCACAGGGGGTCCCTACCAGGCATCTCCAGCCAGCAGGCCACCTGCCCCCAGCCACCTTGCTTCCTCCCCTGTGCCGTTCAGTGAGCCTCTGGTGAGACAAAGGCCACTCCATGTGGG